AATTTGCAGTATCTTGATAGAGTTTTGCACCTTACCGTTTATCATTGTATGGTATCACCCTCTGGTCACTCTCTTCACATTCCCCATTAGACTCATTGAGGTTGCTCTGAATAAAGTATTGCGTAAAGTATGGAACCTCAGCAACATGTCACACACTGGGATTGTCCATAGCGCTGCACGTACAAATACCTACAATCAGTAACATTCTGTATGGTCGTTTCTGTTCTTTCTTTTCTCATGCTGCCTCTTCTTCCTCCATCCTTGTGAGATCAGTTTTTTCTGCAATTATGTTTACACTTTTACCGGTTATAATTAACCCTCGGCGCGCATGCGCAGCGAGGGTTACAGTACTTGGTTTGTGTGTGTGTGTGTCTGTGTGTCCGTTCACGTTTTCTGCCACTAGACGCATCGCCAAAACTCTACACCAACGCGTTCAGCGCTACATTTGCTCGATTTTAAAACTGGCGATTTTCGTAAAAACACTGCGTTCAAAAGTTATGGCGTGAAAAGCAAGTGAACAAGCCAATATGCAAATTAGCGCGGGCTTACCTCGACAAGATGTGCTTGATCTGCGTGCCTTGGAGGCACAAGACGCCACAACGAAGGGCGTGTATCGACTCCCGCATGTTATCTACTACTGTAACTAGCCCGTGCCGTGTGCTACAAGCGGGAGACCACGAGAGTAAACGCATACTACGGTCCAGCCCATCAATTAGCGGTATCGCGCAAGCACAGTTCGCCGAGGGTTTGCACTTCAGTGCTTTTTCATTTTGTTCATGGATTACGCGTCTGAGACCTTTTTGCTGCTCACATCATTAGAATATTGAGGTCATTCTATGGATTACGTTCACCCTGTGAGGATATTGTTATTTTGCTATCCTGTTCCTAAGTTGATCTGTTATTTGTATTTTTTGTTTAGTCATGCTTATCACTTATCCTCTCCTGTGAGCAGACCAGTGGTCGGTCCAGGAGCCCGTAAGCCCTCGGTTGGCGAAGGGAAATAGTCCAATCGGCCACTGGTCTGCTTTGGTGCTGAGCTTCTGTTATTCTTTTTAAAAATTCCTTATCTGTTCTCTCAATGGATAAACAAGGTATGTTCGCAATAGTTCAGTTGGCGAGCAGTTTGTGGCTGCGGCCTTGTCTTCCCATCTATAAAACGTCTGGCGAGAGCATTGAAACACAGAAGAGCGAATAAAGCAAATATGAGAGCCTCTGAAACACCTGAGCCATTGCTCTAACCGCTAATGCAACTAGCTACCCTGTGTTACGGCGAGACTCGTGTTACTGGCTCAGTCGATGACGCACGGCCCAGCATACAGCGATGCTATAACTCGCGCGTTTAGCGCCGAGGGTTTGCACATTACTGCTTTTCATATTATTGGCGAGCGGGAGCGAGCTAACCTAGTGGTACGACGAACGGCGCGGATTTACGTCGTCCAACTAACTGCGCATGCTCCAGGATTACGCGCTTCTTTTTATCCGAAAAGGATTTCACATGCTGCCTGCCTGTCATACTCCGTACTCTTGCACAGTCCAGAGAAGATGCCCTTCGTCGTCGAAAATATATAGAGGGAAAGAGAACATCGTGCCCGTGAGACTCCTGAGCGTCGCTTGCGTGATAGGGAACGCCATATCGATGCGAAATCTAGCCAGCGAAAGAGCTCTCGTCTATTCGCTGCGCTCTTCGATACCTGACCGAGGCTGTATATACCTCTTTCCAATCTTCGCGGTTCTAAGGTTCAAGTTGTTAATAGCTAGGACGGCTAATGCCATTGTGTGCTCGCTCCCGCTCGGCATGCATTTCGTCCGTACGTCGTGTAAGTGCGCATGCGCTGCTTCTTTACGCGGGTTGGAAAACTGGATTCTGTCACCTGACGAATGCTCGAATGCCAAGGAGAGATCGCAAAAAGAATCCTGAAACTGCCAAAATGGTACTCCAACACCGCGGCGATCGTAGCACTTGGCTGGAACTCACTCCACTCAGTTTGCACCCATCAGAAAAGTAAGGTTCCTGCAGAGAGTCATGACAAATGAAGAAAGCATCTGTCAACGAGCTTTCTCAGCTATGGTAGATGACGTGGAGGCACTCAGTCTAGTGAGGGAATGCAGGGAACTGGAGGAGAGGAGCAAGTCGAGACATCCTGAGTGCCAATGAACTCGCAGATGGGCTTAACATCATCAGACATGCACAAAAGATCATCAACAAGAAAGACCAACTGCTGCTGCTACAAAAGGTCTCCAAACATCAGTCTGTGCACAAGATCGCCGAGTGTGTTGGGTGGAAGAAGTTGTGGGATCATGCACTGGATCACGGCCCCTCAGTTATCAAGGGGATGAAGAACCTCGTGAGGGTGATTACCTACCCAGATCATTCACCCAGCAAATATCCTCTGTGCGATACTGCTGATCTGGACAAACCAACTCTGGCCGAACATGTCATCACCTATCACACAAAAAGTGACAACTCCTGGTGCACTCTACTTGACTCTGACTACCATGGACCCCACCTTCTTCAGTCATGCGTTATGCTTCCTACATGTTGTTTAATTTCCAAATTTTTACACATTTTCACACACGCTTCCTCTCGATATGCGCCGATCGATCTAGCCACCAGCGAGAGAACTCTCCTCCATTCGATGGCATGCACTGCAATCTTCGGTGACTGACCGAGGCTGTATATACCAGAAATCGGCATCTTGTTTTAGATCTTTACAGGAGACTTTCCAGCCAGTTAGAGTACGGAAAGAGGGTGATCGAGTAGGTAGGCAGTGTTTGCCACCATCGATTGGATTTATGCGCATGTGACTTTTAAGATTGGGAAGAGGTGCAGCCTCGGTCAGTCACCGAAGGTTGCAGCGCATGCCGTCGAATGGAGGAGAGTTCTCTAGCTGGCTAGATCGATCGCGCATATCGGCGTGTGTGAAAATGTGTAAAGAATTTGGAAATAGTTAACGGATAAAAAGAAGCGCGTACAAAGCCGCGCATGCGCACTTACACGACGTACGACGTATATACAGCTCGAACGAACGACTACATAATATTATATAGGTTGGCTCGCTCCCGCTCGCCAATAATAGCCTAACTCTGCTAGGTTTTACTGCTTCGACCGGCACCGTGGTCTAGTCTTCTTCTTCCTTCATACAAAATGTCATTCAAGGTTGCGATTCTCGGTAAGTTCGAAAAGCCATGAAATTTTATGATCACACAAAACGCTCCATTGCAGGGAGTCCACGATCGTCGGGCGATGTCTTCTGGAGCAATTTGACGTACGGGATTCAAGTGTACGACCTCGCAGCTGAGCAGATCTGCAGCATTCTCCATAGCCCGGAGCACAGCAACGGTGGGCAAGGATCGAATCAGGGGGCGGAGTTAGGGTTCAAAAGCGCTAAAGTATAATGTGCAAACCCTCGGCGAACTGCGCGTGCCGTACTGCTAATTGATGGGCTGGGCTATTTCCGCGTTTATTCGTGGTCTCCCGCTAGTAGCTCGCAGAGAGTCTGACACGGGCTAGCTACAGTAGTAGATAGCATGCGAGAGTCGATACACGCCCTTCGTTGTGACTTCTTGTGCCTTCAAGATACACAGAGCAAGCGGGCCCGGTCGTAAAAGCCTGTGCTAAAAATAAGCGCATGCGCATTTTGCGCAGCGATAACGACTATGCATTAGCCGTATATACAATGGTGGAAGCGCTCTAGCTTTGCAACGGAGCGTTTTCAGAGAAAACCGTTCGACAATTCTGACCTTCATTGCCTGTTAATTAAGTAGGTGGTATCCTTGTGAGACGAACGAACACTCGAGAAGTGAGATGTGGAGTAACAGACACACAGCAGAACAACTACCGTAACCTCGCTGCGCGTGCGCACCGAGGGTTATCAACGAACTGCAAAGCTAGCGGCAGACAGCATTAAAATTGGGGGGAGGGGGGCTCGGCCCCCATCCTCAAAAGGTGGGGGTGCCAAAGCACTCCCTGCACCCCTAGTATCTCCGCCCCTGGAATAAGTTTTTCTCATAGTCTTGCTCTTTCGGCTGCATGCTTTGACTACTCTTGAGACTCTAGTAACTATTGGCATTTCTCTGATATATATAACCTGTAAAGGAATTGATGTCGCAAAGCTGGGAGCTATTCCAGTAAACAAGTACGAGATATATGGAGGAGGGAGATTCTTTCCATCTGTAACCAGAGAGGCAAGTATATATTTCTCATTATGGCAAAGTGAAAGTACTTTGTGGTTGCCATGCTGTGCATGAGGGGGTTGCCATAGGGTTGGCGTACGTAAACACTGTACCATAATAGGATTTATGTTTATTTGCAAGTGAAATGAGCCCACCTAGCCCACCTAGCTGTCTGAATGCGGGATTTTTCATACATAATTATTGCACTGCCCATACCATGTTCTAAAAATACATGAAACGCTAAATCGAAATGCTATAATTAAGTATAAAGCCATCTTATTGGTTTGGCAATTGCAGGAGATTGCCCAAGTCATGCAAGGCGTCGATGTAATGCTGATGATAAGCTCAAATAATCCGTTTGCTCTGGACTACATGGCCCTCGAGTTCTATGAGTGCCTCATTGGAGACAATCTTCTGGGACCAGTGCAAGGGCTGTTGTAGTGCTGAGGATTGTCAGTGCAAGCTTGACCCCCTTTTCCCAAGAACACCAAGCACTCACTGCGAAGACATCCTCACCAAATCAGGCCTCAGCAAAGCTTCAAACCTTCAAAAGAAGCTCTGTGAGCAGTAGGAAATGTATTGCTAGCTGACAATAGCTTGTAGATTTTGCAAGTAGTGTTGTGCTGTGTAAACTTCCTGTTTTTCACTACTGAAAACATACATAATTCCACAGATGTTGTGGCACACAAAGAAGTAAAGCTGAGAAAGCGCCGATCCAGGGGCAAGAAGAGCAAGAAGCAGGGGGAAGAAGCAGATGTTGTCTCACAGCTGAGGGCTCGTCTGCTGGGAAAGAAGAGGTGAAGGTGGCAGTCGCTGCTCCAGTCAAGGAGACCCTGTCAGGTGGGAAGGCTCTGCTGAACATGGGCCAGAGATTCTCCAGTTGGGTCTCCTCCCTCATCAAGTCATAACTCAATGATATGACTTTTGACTTTGCAACTTTTTATGTACATTGAATGAGTATTATACAATATCTGGCAATGTTTTTTTGTCGTACAGTTGAAATGAAAAGCACTTGAAAGTGCATTGAACCTCGCCCCTGGGGTGACTATGGAGCTACAATAGTAGTCTATGTACAGCCTACACTGGGCAATTGTGAACGGCCAAAATGCTGTGGTTGATCAAGGATGCTTGGTGGGAGTTCATGTGCTCTGGCCTATCATGCACTACAGATAGAAGACATTCCTGCACCTGCCAGTAGTGGATAGGGCTAAGTGCCAGGTACTTGACAGGGAGTTAGCCAGTAGACCTAACTGACATTTATATCTAATGCAGACACCTATAAGAACTTTGCACATCACATATGGATTGAAGACTATCCCCAATGGTTCATGATCATCAGATCATCTGTTGCGCATCACATATCCCTGTCAATTCACATGATGATTACAAAAGAATGTGAAATTATCCAGGTGTGCGTATGTTCACTGCTGGATCATGCCAGACTCGGGAAACCACGGGGAGCAGGTCATTGATGAGATCCTTTGAATCACGTATATGCGTGGCTGTGTTGCACGACTTCGTGTGCGGCTTTCGGGATGCACGAAGGCAGTGTCGAGTCGTTTCTTAAAAAAAGCTGGACACCTCTCACTCCTCCAGCGAAGCTTTTTGTCACCATAAAATCAGCTACGCCATCTCTTCTCACCTCTTCGGTCGTCGTTTGCCTTGTGTTTGACACACACTGCTGCTGCAATATCGTACCTGCGCCAAAGTAAACACTCACGAACATGTACTTACGGCAGTAGATTCAACTCATGTGTTGTCACAGTCACCTAGGGCGAAGTTGTAATGTGTGATAAATGGAAGAACGTCACTTATAAATGTGTAAAATACAAAAACCCAAAAACGGACTTACAATCGAGGTTTACTTACACAGCAAAACTATAAGGTTGCATCAGGGACCGGTCAACAGAGCGAAACCCCAAGGGAGACTATTATTGAGATAGTAGAGGTCAATCAGGAACAATCAAGGTCTCAATTTACCGTACAGTGGGGCTAAGCTCGGGCACGGGCGAGTAATCCGGCAACAGCTCTGCATTAGAAGGCGTACGGGGGGCAACTTATCTCCGACACCAAAGGCTACGTTCACGACGGCTCTTCACTCCGGCAGGGGGGAGAATCGAGTCTGCTTCCTCTCTGAATGGCAAGATTCAATCGACTGGCAAAAAATGAACGATATTTTTACGAATGCGCGTAAGACTGCGGTTATCGGCGGGAAAAAAAGGCGGTG